TAATTTGAACTTGCTTTTGAGATCTAGTTCAAATAATGCAAAGTTACGAATTACGGTAATTGGTTCCACTTATTTCAAGTGCACGATCAGATTTTTATGGAGCACACTGTGCAATTACACAAATCGTTCACCGAATTCAAAAAGTTTGCAGCTCTTTTTCTCCATCGCGAAATGAGCCCTAAACGCTGCCTATCTTTAGAAAACTAGATCTTAGACCTAATGACTCTTCTTTTCCTTTTTTGTCAAAGGCTATTGTAATCCTCTTCTATTTTTACCGAACTCCCGTAAAGTCTCAATTTTAGGGTTCGACATGATGTCAGCGGCGGTAAATCCAATGTGTCCATCAGAGTTCTATCATCCCGGAATCACGTGGCCCGGTTATCAATACGGTCAACAATATCCATTCGCTACAGGACCCTATGCACAACATATGATGGATATCCCTGGATTAACAGGTTTGATACAAGTTCTCAAACTTACCAAAGCTGATCTTGCGGATATAAAGAATATAGAAGGTAGGAGTAGGTAGTGAGGTGACGGGAAAAGGGGTGAAGGGATAGAAGTTATGAAAAGTCGGTGAAGTGATCCGCTTATCAGTACGGTCAATAATTTCCTTCGCTTCAGGACCCAGTAAACAACTTGTAATGAATATCCATGAATTAACAGCTTTGAGCCAAGTCTGGACCTGTCAAGACTGGTCCTGTGTCTGAGGAGACATGGAAAGGGGGCGGGGGGATAAAAATTTTGCAAAAGCGGTCAGTTGGCCCGCATCGGTACTGTTCAACGGTATCCGTTCGCTACAGGACCCTATGCTCAGCGTATGATGGATGTCCCTGGATTGACAGGCTTGAAACAGATTGAACTTGTCAAGATTGGTCTTGCGGTGGATAAGAAAGGACTGATGTGGGGCTTTTGAGACCCGCTTATCCAGACAGTCAACAGTATTCATTCGCTGCAGGACCTTGTGCACAGTACATGATGCATGTTCCTATAATGGCAGGTTAACCTTGTCAGGCTAAGCAAGTAAGGACACGGTTAGGAAGAGATTTGAGAGTATGGAAAT